CTGGAACCCCCAGGTCCCATTTCCCCCTCCAAATAAACTCGTTTCACCCCAAAATTTCTGTTTCCGCTCTTTGAACCCCCCAAAAATTTTTTTGGGGCGCCCCAAAAACTTCCAAAATTTGGCAGCGCCGTCGCCCTTTTAATTCCCCCCCTGTGGGCCCCACCCGCGCCTCGCCGCTTTAAGCCACGCCCCCTCCCGCGCCGCAACCAATCAGCGCTCAGCACACCAGCTTTATTAGCATAGCGGGCGTGGCCTCAGCGGGCGACGCCCAATCAGCTTTGGGCAAAAATAAAGTGGGCGGGGCCTCCAGGAAGCCACGCCCATCTCAGGCACAAAAGGGGGGAGCCCCAACCCCGGAGCTGTCAATCAAACCCGGCTGGCCACGCCCCCTTTTTGGGGAGGGGTCCCCAAAATTTCTGGGCAAGGCGGGGGGGGAGGGGAGGGACCCCCAAAATAAGACACTTGGTGGGGGAGGGGCACCCCCGAAATTTTGGGGGATCCCAACACTCGAAACCCCCAAATTTCAGGGAAAAATCCCCAAATTTTAGGGAAAAATCCCAAATTCTGGGGACGGAAACCCCGAATTTTTGGGTGAACCCCCCCCCAAATTTTGACCTGAAAACCCCCGAATTTTCGGGGAAATCCCCAAATTTCAGGGACAATCCCCAAATTTTGGGATGAACCCCCCCAAATTTTGGGCTAAAACCACACAATTTTGGGGAAAATCCCCAAATTTTGAGCTGAGAACCCCAAATCTTGAGGTGAAACCCCCAAATTTTTGGCTGAAACCTCCAAAATTTCGATCTGAAACCCCAAATGTTTTTCTCCTCTCCCATTTTTTAGAGGCACCCCAAAAATCAATGGGGAGGTTGAAAAATCCTCATTTTAAGGCTTTGAAATTGGGGTTTTTGGGGTTTTTTTTGTGGATTTTTGGGGTTTTTTGGAGGATTTTGGGGGTTTTTTTGGGGTTCCCGGATTTTGGGGGATTTTGGGGATTTTTGGGGGGTCACTGGGGGTCCCCCCCCAGCAGGCGGGGCCGGGGGAGGTCCCCGAAAATTTCGGGGCCGTCGCCGCCGCCGCGCAGCGCCAGCGCCCGCATCGAGGCCGCGATCCGCTCCAGGTCCGGCGGCGCCTGCGGGAGGGAATTTTGGGAATTTTGGGAATTTTGGGAATTTTTGGGGGGGTTT